AAATAGTACCACAAAGGCAAAACCCACACACATATTATCTCTGAGGGTAAGGTGTTTACAACAAGTTTCTTTGAAGCTATTTTGTGGTTAGTGTTCTCTGTCTGTAAAGCTCTCCAGAGCAGTACAGAAGGCAGCTAGCACCACACCTGTCTTTTTCACTTTTGCAAAGTCAGGAGTTCTTTTTCACTTTGTAACAACATTCAAACATGGAAAACAGCATGTTCTTAAATCAGTGATCCTATCATACATAGTCTTCAACTGACTTTAAGGTTCTTTTGATAGTTCCAAATAGGTAGAGGTTGGTATAGCTCAGAGGCGTTTCAGGGTTTTCAGTTCAACTTGATTTTAACTCTGAATCCAGGCACACCTGTGGTAAAGTGATAGTGACGGTGAAACTGAATTCCTTTCATTTCAGAACCACAGAACACTCTGCCAACTGAAAAGTGGCATTGTTTTCAGCAGCCATAAGCTGCAGAGGTGCAGTGACTGGTGCTCCCACCATGATGAGATCAGGGTCCTGATCCATAAATTTATGCAGGGGATAAACAGGTTATACTGTTTTCTTTTTCCTGTTGTCTCTATAATGGAGAACTCTCAAGAAGAGTATAAAAGGAAATTCAAGGACAGAAGAAATAGTGGCCAAAGGAATGGCCTACAGGTGGGATGGACCAAGAGAAGAAGGGGTGAGGAAAAGAGGATCTAATTCTTCACTAGCTATGCTGTTGACTGAATCGTGTCCCCTCCAAGTTTGTATGTGGGAACCCTTAGCCCTAATGCAAGTGCATCTGGAGGTGTGGCCTTTGGGAGGACATTCGGTAAGGGTGAGGTCCTGAGGATGGGGCCCTTAGGATGAGGTTAGCACTTATAAGACAGGGCAGTAGAGAGCTGGGTGCTCAGTTTCTCTCCTCCTTTTCCCTCACTCTTTCTGCCTTCTGAGAGCACAGCAAAATGTCCTCTGCGAGACAGGCAAGGGGGAAGTGTCCTCTGCGAAGGTGGCCAGCACCTCCACCTTGCTCTTCCCAGCCTCCATCCAGATCTGTGAGAAACATTATTGAAGTGGCCCAGCTATTGTGTTACCACAGCTTGATCACAGCGTGCTAAGACAAGCCCAGAACACTGAGTGAAGCCCTCCTCATAAGAAAGGCACACTTTGCCCTTTTCTTTATAGGAAAATTTGCTGAACGTCACCTGGCCAGAGTTACGAAGCACTGCTGGAAGACACCACTTCTCAGACCGAGTTCCTCCCTCCTTACATGGCAAAGGGCTCGCCACCTAGTCCTGCTGTCCCCTCAGCTTGCTGGGATTCCTGTGTCTCCAGCAGATTCTTGGGGAAACACCAGTGTTTTCCCAAATTTTGAAAGGGGAAACTTAGTAATTACTTAGAGATAAAGAGAGAATATTTCTTGTCTACAGAGTAGCTAGCTGCACATGGCCACTATTCAGTGCTGCCCATTGGTCTGTGAGGCATTTTTCTAAAGAAACCCTACCTCACAGTTTAATCTGGATACAGAGATTTATGGCCTAAAACAGAGTTTTCCAAATGAGTTCTCCAATTTAGAGGATGTGATGTCATATGAATTTTGCCAATACTTTCAATAAAATTAAACAGCACAAAGTAGAAAACCGTCAAGTATATTGTTGGTAATAATAATAAGCATTATCTCATGAAATTGTTTCTCTTTCACACAAACACACATCTCACTATCAAAATCTATATGGTGTTCAGCAATCACATATACATCCACAGATAGAATATGAATATATATATATATATATATATATATATATATATATATATAAAGAGATGCCTTATACTCAACTATTGACTACAACTGAGCTTCCATATCTGTTCTTGTCTCTGCGAATATGGTAAAAGTACATATTCAAGGTCGCTAAAGTAACAATAGTAAGGAAAATGACAATTTAAAAGAATCCAAAATAATTTAACAACACTGTTATTCTGCCCTAATTATCATCTATTTTTCAACTTCCGTGTCAGGAAATGCCCCTGACTTAGTCACAAGTGCCCTTTCCATCTGGTGCATCAGGTATAAGCGTAAGGTAAAAATAGCTAGAAAGAGGCTGTCACAGGGCCAAACCCTCACCATAGAGCACCATAGAGCATGCCAATTCTCGCCATTCCATGTGCCAAACCTCTGGGCAGAATCTGAACCACAGGCAAGCTCTCCTCTCCATTAGCAAAATCTTTAAAATGCCAGTTCCTGAAATTACTGGGCAAAAGACCAACTGCTTTCTAGGATAAAGAACTCTGAATAAGATCATGGTTAACTCATTTTTTTAAGTAGAATTGAGTTTATGATTATACTATGATTATGAATCATAAACATTTTCAAGTGTAATTTTGGAAAAATTAATTTGCATGAAACTTATAAACAACCCATTCACACACATCTATAGCCCCCCCATAAAAGGGTTACTTCCTCTTCCCTGGTCTGAAGAGCTAAACATGGAGAGAAGCTTTCAGCACCTGCCCACAAAAGTTCTATCCAGTGGCTTCGTGGGTACAATCATGGGAAGGTAACTCCCCAAGGTGCTAAACACATACTCAGTTTCCACCATGTTGCTGAAATGGTCAGGAATTGGATTCTGAGTTCAGGAGTCACTAGTTTATAACAAGTAGTTGTGACCCCAGAACGAACAACTCACAAATTACTCTGATGGTGGCCGTGTATATCTGGAGCACCTAGTGATACCACACACCACCAGGAGTACTGTCCTCTTAGCAAATAAATGCATGTCAACTGTGTACTTAATCACTGTCCTCAGAGTTACCACTGGCTGGCAGATTTTATTGAAGACAGAGAAAAGAAGACTTAAAACCAATTCACTGAGTTCCACTTGATCACCAGTACAGGGAAGAAGAGGGCTTCTGGCACTTAGTCAATAACTCAAATGATAATTCCACTGCATTCTCTAGATTTAAAATTCTTAATATTATATCTGGAGTACTAGTTGCATTACATTTTAGATTTTGTTTAAAAAATGTAAGGTGGATCATGAAGTGATCAGATTTCTCAAAGTCATGACCAAATAGTGTAAGTGTACATCTCACCAATGCTGCCATCTACAGAGAACTTACCTACTATTACACAGCACTGCTGAAAACAGCCACAGGAATACAATGTTTTAGCTTTTATTTTCAAAGTACTTAAATTCTGGGTTTTTTTTTTTAAAGATAAAAGACTAAGTAGCAGAGCAAGAGTCTTAGGAACAGATGATACATATTTATTGCCCACAGTTTTCAGCAACATGTACCACCAAACTTTAAAAAGACAATTCGAATTCCTTAGGTTTTCTCTAAGCAATTCACTATCTACCGTTTCATATGTGTGTATAATTGATAAGCTGTTTTTCCACCACTTTTTCATTCCTCAGATTGAAAGAAATTTCTCAAGTTTCCTGATGGTGAAGCTTATGGACAAAGACAACATATATTCGTAAGTCAGAACCAAGTAGATGCATCTGGGTTTGGTGTCACACAGAAGGCGGTTGGATGTGCTACTGGGACAGTCCCTACAGCAGCAGCAGCAGGTACTTCCTCTGCTATGTGGCACTTTCCAGAAGTACAAGAAATAATTTTAAGCTGATCATCTCCTCAATGAGAATTTAGCACTGCACCACTGCAGCCCACCTTAGAATTATCACAGCCTCTGACGCACGCAGAAAGACGCATTTCATTGTTACTTCATTTTTGTGTACATACAACTGACCTTCTGACAAACACTGAAATTTTTTATCAAAAACAGGTTTGGGTAGATTTATTCAAAGCTCAAACATTTTGAGACATTTTAAAGCAAATTTTCTTTCAGAAGTTTGGCGTTTTTTACACACACCACTTGTACACAATGAGCCTTTCATAGCAAATCAGAGAAAAGGCAGGCAGTGACCCTTATCTTTTCCCACTAAGGACCAAGGGACAGGATACTGCTCTGTGTGGTCTCTAATGGCATTTTTTAAAAGTGGTTGTTAGCTAAATTATTTCCCGCAAAAGGAGAACGAACAATGAAATTGCAAAAGAAGTTGGAACTTGTCAGCAGTTGAACTTACATCTTCAGATTCCCTATAATGAAAGGCCTGCATAACCTGAGTGCCGAAACCATGTCACCTTAGCGTGGATAACTGGAAGGAAGGAAGGATGGAAGGAAGGAAGGAAGGAAGGAAGGAAGGAAGGAAGGAAGGAAGGAAAAGGAAAAAGGAAAAAATTCAATGGATAACAGTATGAGACCACATGGAATCATTCACGGGGAGAAACTGCTACCTGTTTGGATCCTCAGGGGAGCGATAAGAGCCGTCTGTGCCACCCTAGGGAGATGGTTTCTAGCATACATAATATAAATAAATCACTCCAGCACCGGAAAGAAGAGCAGCAGAACTCTTCTCACTAATCGCCACCACGGCCTGGACCCCTTGGGCTGCCTTCCCTTTAAAACACTGCTTCATTATTCTGCCTTTAACTCTCTTAAATGATTCATTGCCCCCTTAGCTCCTGAGCACACTCTACAGGGAAGCTAGTATTTAAGTTTAATTTCTAGTGCCACTTGCTTTAGAGAGCTTGATGGCAGCAAGCAGGAGGAATCTAATTTAATAATTTTGTCAAGGTTTGGAGGGGCACCTATGACCCCCTCCCCCATCAATAACTAAACAGGAGTCTCCCGCAAGCCATCTGAGGAAAGACACTATCTGAGAACGCAGGGCCCACGTGCGGCGAAAGCTGTCACCCAGAAGTGGCAGCCGGCGAGGAGCGCAGGGAGGCGGGCAGTGCGGGCCTAGGCGCTCAAGGGGATGGCAGAGTGGCACCTGAGCAGAGCTCAGCTCCCTCCCAGAGACACCTAGGGGAAGAAATCAAGGGCGGAGAACCCTCCCGCATCCTCGGGCAAGGGACGACCCGTGCACGCCGCCGCAGCGTCCGCAGCCCCAGCCCGCGCCCCTGGAGCCCGCGCGGAGCGGAGCCCGCCGCGCCTTCCTCGCCCCCGCCTTACCGTCCCAGCTCCGACTCCACCTCGAAGAAATCGCTCAGCGCATCCCTGTTGGAGCCGTCGATCCAGTAATCCGGGACGAGGCTCCCGGGGCCCGGGGCCGCGCTGGCGGTGACCGACGAGCAGGACGAGGAGGAGCAGGAGGGCACGGTGACTTTGAGCATCTTCGCGGCGGGACTCCGGAAGCCGGCGCCGCTGCCGCCGCTGGCCGAGCTGGAAGCCCCGCCGCGCCGCCGCCTGCAGCCGAGCGAGCGAGCTAGCAAGCCCCGGAGCGGGAGGGGGAGTCCTCAGCGCGCGCACCTCGCCGCCGCGCCCGAGGAGTGGGCGGAGGAGG